TAAAGCAGTTGATAAATTCAATACCAAAAAAATCTCAGTAGAGAATAGAGAAAATTTCTTAAATTTGATAAATAATATCAACAAAAAATTTATAGATGACATCATACTTAGGGTCAAGAACTAGCTTCTTTCCTCCAAATACTGGGCACAAGTTAATGATGTCCGCTCTCATCATTCCAGTTTAAAATCATACTGAATTTCTTATTAGTGGAATAAGACAAGAAAAGGAAATAGAAAATTAGTCAGGGAGAAATAGAAGTCTATCTGCTTGTAGATGACATGGTTATCTATTAACAAGAAACTTCTGGAACCTACTAGTAATTACAGCAAGGTTTGCAGGATACAAAATTAATACTGAACACAAAAGTCAATTGATTTAAAACATGCCAGCAATGAATAAGTGGAATTTGAAATTTAAATACAATACCATTTACACTACCAAAAAGAGAGAAATAAATCCAAAACTAATTTTTAAAAAGTTCAAGATCTATATGAGGAAAACAACAAAACTGATCAAAGAAGTCAAAGAAGAAGCTGGGTGTGTGGTAATACAAGCCTATAACCTCAGAACTCTGGTAGGCTGAGGCAGGAGGATCACAACTTCAAGCCCAGACTGGACAACTTAGTGGGATTCTGTCTCAAAGTAAAAATATTTTAATAAAGGGGTAAGGATGCAGTTCATTGTGAAGGTACTGGATTTAATACTCAGTACTGCAAATAAACAAAACAACAACAACAACAAACCAGAAATCCAAGGTCTAAATGGCGAAATCCATGTTATGGACAGAAAGATTTAAAATTATTAGGATGTTCATCTGCTTGACTTGATCTATGGATTCAAGACAATCTCAATATACAGAAAATCTAAGCAAGTGAAAATTGACAAACTGATTCTCAAATTTATATGGAAAGGCAAAAGATTCAGGGTAACCAACAGCAAGCTTGGAGGACTGACATTACTCAGCTTCAAGTTTTACTATAAAATTGCAGTAATCAGCATGTATTGATAAAAAGCAAAGATATGAAGGGAACAGAGTACAGAGCACAGAAATAAATTTGATCAAATATAATCAAGTGATCTTTGACAAGGATCAAAAATAATTCAATGGGAAAAAATAGTCTTTTCAACAACTGGTCTTGGAACAAGTAGACATCCACATGCCCCCGCAAAAGTCTACACACAGACCTTACATCTCTCACAAAAATTAAATCAGAATGAGTAATTATATTAATATAAAATACAAGACTAAAAAATAGCCAGAAAAAATCTAGATAACTTTGATTTTGGTGTCAGCTTTTTAGATACAAAACTTTTAGATATATAAGCATGGTCAGTGAAAGAAAAATATTGATAAGTTGGACTTCATTAAAATTAAAAATGTCTGCTCTGCAAAAGACACTGCTGATGAAAAGATAAGCCATGATATGGATACAAGATCTACAAAATATATGCCTAATTAAAGATATGTGCCTCACATACACAAAGAACCCTTAAACCTCAATGATAAGAAAAAATCCAAGAATAAAATGGACAAAAGATCTGAACAGACATCTCACCAAAGAGCATGCAGAAAAGGCAAACAAGAACGTGAGAAGATGTTAACATTATATTCATTAGGGAATTGCAAATTAAAACAACAGAATACTACCCTGCACCTATTACGATGTCTAAAACCCAAAACACAGACAAGATCAAATATGGCCACAGATACAAAGGAACAGCAACTCTCAAGTCATTGCTGCTGGAAATGCAAAACGGTACAGCCACTTTGGAGGATAGCTTGGTAGTTTCTCTAAAAGCTAAACATAGCCAGGGATTTAGCTTGGTGGTTCTGCCGCCTGCCTTGCAAGCACAGGGATCCGAGTTTGATCCCTGGAACGAAAAAAAAAAAAAAAAGAAAAAGAAAAAAGAAACTCTAAAAGCAAAACAGACTTAATATATCATCCAGCAATTGTACTCTTAGGTATTTACCAAATGATATAATTAAAAACATGTCCACAAAACCCTTTAAATGAATATTTATAGCTGATTTATTTATAATTACAATTGGAATAAACCAAAGTGGTCTTTAATACGTGAATAGATATATACACACACACAATGGAATATCATTCAGTGATTTTTTTCTTTCAAAAGGAGCTATCAAGGGCCCAAAAAGTGTGGAGGAAACTTAACAGCATTATTAAGTAAAATAAGCCAGTTTAAAAGGTCACATACTGGGGTTTTCCAAGCAAATCACAGATTAGTGGGTGCCAGGAGCTCAGGGGAAGGTAAGGGATGATCTGGGGAGCACAGGGGTCCTGGAGAATGGTGTGAAATGATTCTACGTGATATTGTATTGGTGAGCAAATAATATTATGTATTTGTCAAAGCCCACAGAATTGTACAACACAAAGAGAGAAACTTATTGTATACTGTGGACTTCGTTATTAACTACCAGTATGGGTTCATCAGTTGTACCTATAATACCAGAGGGCACCAGGTGTGGTGATGCACACCTGTAATCCCAGCACTCAGGAAGGTGAGGCAAGAGGATCACTGTGAGTTCGAGACCAGCCTGGGCTACACAGTGAGTTCCAGGTCAGTGTCAACTATATAGTGAGACTCTGTCTCAAAAACCAAACAAACAAAAAAACAAACAAACAAAAATACCAGAGGGCAAGATGTTAGTAATAGGGAAAACTGGTTTGTGTGGGTGAGGCAAAGGGTGGATGACAACTCTGCACTTGCTGCACAGTTTTTCTATACACCCAAACTCTAAAACAAAAGTCTACCACAAAATTTTAAATGAATAAAGTTAACAAGATGCTATTTCACATTTCAAGTTGCCCAAGATTTCCAAGACAGTGTCAGTAAGGACAGAAGGAAAAGTCATCCATCAAAAGCTTTAAACTATTATCAACCTATGGATTTAGTAATTTTCTTTCTTGGAAGCAATCCTAAGAACATAACCATGGATTCAGCAAATGTTGCTTATCACAACAAACAACAGCAAAAACTAGAAGACAAAAATAATGACATCATATTTGTAAAAATAAATTGGTAGGCACATATATGCATAGGAAATGTATATAAAAGGATGGCCAACAAACTATTAATAGTGAATGCCTTCATTTTATAGTCTTTAATATATTTTTTCTTAAAATAGAAATGAAGGTCACATACATCAGAATGGCTATTATATTTCTAAAAATACAGAAAACAGCTGGGTATGGTGGCACATGCCTGTAATCCCAGCACTTGGTAGGCAGAGGCAGGAGGATCACTGAGACTTCGAGGCTAGCCTGGGCTACATAATAAGTTCAGGGCTAGCCTGAACCATAAAGTGAGGTCCTCTCTCACTTCCCCCCAAATAAAAATACAGAAAATAACAAATGTCAGTAATGTAGAGAAGTTGGAATGCTTGTACACTGTTGGTTACAACTGCTATGGAAGACAGTATGGTATTTCCTCTAAAAACTAAACAGTTTTAGTGCATGATCTACCCTCTTCTCTTCTGTGTATATATCCAAGAGAAAGCAGGGACTCAGACATTTGTGCACGCATGTTCATGGCAGTGGTATTCACAAGTCATAGGTAGAAGCAACTCCAGTATCCACAGATAGATGAATGAATAAACAAAATGTGGTATACTTATAAAATGGAATATTACTTGGCCTTAATAGAGCACACACACTGAAGACATCATGCTAAGAGAGTTACACAAAGACACTGTATGATTCCACATATTGTCTCATTTATGGTGACAGAAAGGAGAGTGGCTGTTGCCAGGGAAGAGTCACAGGGGCTATGGAGAATTATTGTTTAATGGGAATGAAGTTTCAGTTCGGTAAGATGGAAAGAATCCAGGAGTTGGATGTGCTGACGGCTGTATAACAATATGAATGCACTTAATGCCAATGAATTAAAAATGGTTTAAGATGTTAAATTTTGTTATATATATTTTATCACAATTAAAATATGCTTTTTCTTTTGACATAAAATTCTACAATAAAATGGACACATCTTAGGCCCCCACATCCACTGTGTTTTGGCAGATGCATGTATCTGTGTAACCCAAATCTCTCCTAATATACACATCACTGTCATTCCTGGAAGTCCTCTCATGGCTCCTCATATATTCTTTTTAATAATCACAAAAGAATTTATAGTATGATCTTCCTATTATAGATATACAGGGTTTTTGTTTTGTTCTTCTTTTTTTTTTTTTTTTAGATATAGTCTTGATTTGTAGTTCAGGCTGGCCTTGAAATATATAGCCCAGGTTGGCCTTAAACTCAGGGTGCTTCTCCTGCCTCAGCCTCCTGAGTGCTGAGGTTACAAGCATGTGCTACCCCACCTGGATGTTATGTAAATATAGAAAAATAAAAAGATAGATTTCTGGATAATGCGATCACTATTGATCTTAATTATTTTCTATTTCCTTTTATGTATTTTATAAATTTTATATACTAAGAGGGTAGGAAAAACAGTAAAAGCTACTTAAACATCTTTCTTTTAGTAAATAATGTCACAGAATATTTGTAGCCACTAAAGTGATAATTTTGAAGATTATATAGCAAAACTGTAAATATGTCAATATAAGACTGTAATGACAAAGTTAAAAGAAGTATCAATACCATAAAATCACCATGATAACATCATGTAAACACACAAAAGGGAACTATAAAAGAATAAGAAAATCAAAGGTGTCAATACTTATTCTACTTGAATGATGGAATTACGGGAAACTACGGGTAATTTTTGCAAAAGAAAAAAACCACCCAAAACAGAAACATTTTTCATTTTTTTTCTAAATTAAAAGCCTATGAGACTCTGACTTCAAGACCAGCCATCTCTTACATCCTTAGGCCAGCTTTGAAGAAATGAAACCAGCCAGAAAACTACGGAATCTTCTTAGCTTTTACAAAGGGCTTACATGGTCCACGTGTTTTGGTTGGGTTTGGGACTTGGGATTCAGACCATTACAATAGGACACAACAAACAAGTACTAAATTACCTCTTTCTGGAAATATGTTGTTTTTGGTGAGTTTTACACTCTTGGGCCTGGGGTGGTTATCATCCATACCCATGATGAGGTTGCGGAAGAAGAAATCAAATTTCTTTCTGCTGTCTGCATTGATGGTGCCGGCCACGGTCCACACCAAGGAGAAGAGGAATAGTCCTTGAAGCCAGAGGAAAATCTGTTGACTTGACAGGCCTTCAAGTGATTCATTTTCCTCATCTCCCGTGGCCTAAATTTCATCTAAAAGTGAATAAAAGCCGAAGGTCAGGATGAAAGGCAGAGTGCTATGGATGTAAAAGATGCGAACTCACTGGTGTTTCCTATGAAAGACCTGGGCAGTTGACTGATCTTGGCTGAGTGTCTATTGCATACCAGATCCTTTATCATATACATTTTAATTGTATTAAAGTAAATGCAACATAAAATTTGTCATCTTTACTATTTTCAGTGTACATTTCAGCGATATCAAGTGTATTTATATTGTGTAACCACCACCACCGTTCATATCCAGAACTCTTCATCTCGTAGAACTAAAATTCTGTACCCATTAAGCAATAACTTGCTCCTCTATCTTCCTTCCATCGCTCATATGACCAGAATTCTACTTTCTCTTTATATAACTTTGACTATCCTAGGGGCATCATCGAAGTAGAATCATACAGTCATTTTGCAAATGGCTTATTTCACTATTCATAATGTTTTCAAGATTCATCCATGTTGAACCAAGCATCAAAATTTCCTTCTTCTTTAAGACTGAATTATATTCCATTGTGACCACATTTTATCCATTCATTTGTTGAGGGACATTTGGGCTATTTCCACATTTTTGGCTGTTCTAAATAAAGCTGCCATGAGCATGTGTGCTTGGAAGTGAAAATCTGGATCATATGATAAGTCTACGTTTACTTTTTTGAGAAACCACCAAACTGTTTTCCAGTTTAATACCAACAGAATATAAAGTTAGAGCTCTGAAAACAGCTCTATGTGCATTTAGTCCCAGTTCCTAGCTTTCAGCAATTGTGTGTATTTGAGTATTTCTGTGCAGTTTCATAGCTACAGATGTGGGAAGGCAAGAGATGAGATCACTCAGAGCTGGGAATAATGCATCTACTTCTTATGCTGGTGTCTTTGCTCATAGGAGAAAGAAGACAAAGCTTACAAATAAAAATGCAAATAAGGCAGTATTTGTACAATTGGTGTGCTTCTGAAGAAAATGCCTCAAAATGTACAATGTGAAAATTAAATAATATGTAGAAATTCTCCACTTAACTGTTTGCCAAGTTACATTTTTCATTTATAACTACAATCCTTTAAAAGACATGATGTGAGAAAATACGTACAGTACATGTAACAGAAGTCATAAAAAGGATTCATCTTTTTATTTTATTTTTTGTACCGGGAATCAAACTTTGGTTCTTGCACTTGCGAGGCAGGTGGCAGCACCACTAAGCTAAATTCCCAGCCCCTAGAAGATTCATCTTGAGTTGAAGTTATTTGCCACCCTGAAAAATATGGCATCCAACAAAACTTCTCCAAATGAACACATATTTTGTCATTTGCAGTAAAATTCAGTGAAATTTAATTTATGTGAAATAGTTATCATGATTTATGATTCTACGTTTGGAAGTGAATGAATCACAGAACCATTATTTTAAATGTCCTAAGTTCACTAGTTTTGCAGACTAATATGATTAGCTCTCACAGTGTGTCTATGTGTTTTGTGAATTCAGATTTTTGCAACATAAATTGTTTTAAAATAGGAAAATTTCCATGGAGCTCCAGTGGCACAATCAGTTAGCACACAGTACTTATAAGACATAGGACATTTTCTTATATAATTTTTACAGTATTTTTTCTGAAATACATTCATATGTATCATCTAAATTCATCTCCCTCAAGGATATCCCTGTGAGGTAAAGTGGGACATGACCTAGGACTCCTATTGTGTGGATGAGGAAGCTTAGGCTGAGGAGGGATGGGATAGCTTGTGTAAGAACACCAAAAAGAATTCAATATCAAATCAAGACAACACAGATATATTCTTTCCATCAAACACCATTTTCTACAACGCAAAAGATTGCTTGTTCTTGGCCAAATACTGTAGTTGGTCCCTTTATAACTCAAGGGAGATAAACACAGAGTGCAAGCAGAGGAACCAAGGCACAACCAACCCCCTTAAGAATCATGGGTGTCACTTACCAAGCAGAGAGGAGTACAGCCTCATCATTGAGAAGGCAAGGTGGATGGGAGATGACTGGACCACAAATTTACAGTGAAGGCGAATAAATTCCAGGCAGGGGTGGACAAGCCACATGAACATGTCATTGACCTGAGAATAGAAAGCTACATGAGATTTATAGACATTATCTAAAAGGAAGCCTGAAGATGAAGAGCTTGGTCCCCGCTCAGTAGGCTGGAGATGCTGGCGGGGTGATGACATCTTTTGAGAGCAGGCACACTGGGGAAAATTCACAGTCACCCAGAACCCTGGCCCAGCCTCCTCCGTAATGGCCTTAGACTGCTCAGCTCACAGGCCATGTTAACTCACATTTCCCACTCCTTTTCCACTGCCCAGAGCTGGACACTCAAGAGAGGCCTAGAAATACTCTGGTACATAATGTATGAAATAGGCTTAGGAGTCAGCCGCTGTATCTGACTGTTTCTATTAAAAAAAAAAATTTAGGAATTCAATGCAATTGATTTACAGATGACCCTTAGGGATTTGTAAAGTGAGATCCTTGTGTAAAATGGCCATAGGAAGTGCAAAGCTAAATTCGGGCTCATTTTCAGTAATTCACCATATGTGTGATATATGCATATATGCTTATTTGGGTACCCCATTTCATTTTTTTACAATTACTAAACTAACTTTGCTACTTTTATTTTAATGGCTTTTTAAAAACTTTTGTTATAAATTATGACCTTCACTCTATATTATATTTAGGTTGATGGAGAAGGTAGTAGAGAAAGGAGAAACTGACTGCACCATCCCATACCAATCATATGAAGAAGAAAGTTGGAAAAATGGCAGGCAGCCAGAAAACAAGACAACTGGTGAAGTGGGGACAGGTGGGGAATTCCCTGGCCCTTCTTGCTTCCTGGAATTACGAAGGTGACGCTATTCCTAGAAGGTCTTTGAGATGAGTAGGGAAATGGGGTGGAAGGAGAAGAGCCCAGGTCTCACCAATTCCGTGTGCTCCTCAGTAAGGCTGGAGGGTAGGGTGTCCATGTATGAATCTTTCAAGGGCTTCCAGCCTAGCTGATGAGGCTCCATGTAGATCATCCCACATCTGGGAAGTACAAACAGAACTACTTTTGGTGCTCTTTTATTTGATGCTAACACTGGGTGCCATTTACCATATATCATACACTTCTTTAGGCCTTAATGGACCTTGATAATAACCTTAATCTTCCCATATGATGTCCCTTTTCCTACTCCTCTGGGTTTCCCCCAATGAGATAATATAGCATCTTGAATCTTGAGATTTTTTTCCTTCTTATACAGTTTTATAGCATTTTACATGTTCCTAAATATATCTACATTTTAATTCTGGTTATTTTCAACAATTTCAAAGCAGTCAGGTAATATTTTGGGCTTATTTTTATACATGAAGAATTAATCCTTAATATATTTACTAAGATTTATCCACACAGTTGTATGTAAGTGCAGCTCATTTGTTTTGCATAAAGTATAACTATTATAAAATTTGACTACATTACACTTTATTAATTCACTCCTGTTTAATGGACACTTAGGCTATTCCTAACTGTTTGCTATTGTGAGTCATGCCTCTCTGAATATACTTTAGAGGTCTCTTACAGATAAAAATCATAATACAGGTCTTTTGGACATACACTAAGGAACTGAACTGCTGGGTTAAGGGCAAATAAAGGTTCAACTTTAGGAACTAATGTTAAATTCTTGCTTGATTTTAATCACCCACCAGCACTGTGGAATGAGGACTGATTTTACAAGTCGAAGTGAACAACAAATATCGAGGGTGATTTGGTTGGGCTTAATCATAGCTCTCCCTCCTGCTAGGGTGAGTGGGGCCACACCTTCCCTCAGGAAATCAGCACCGGCTAACTTACCGGCTCACGGTGGCAGGGCATGCCTGCTCCAGGTCAGCTGGCTCAAAGATCAGACTTATCTTGGGACTCATCTGGATAATTTCTCCACTCAGCAAACACAACTGCAAATGCAAAGGGGTGGGGTATGCACAGAGGTTAAATTCTGACTGCGAGTGAAAGATCTTAGTGAAGACAAAACTGGTTTGAATGAATTCCACAAATATTTCCTGAGCAGCTACTATGTGCCAGGAACTGTCCTAGGTATGCAGAATAAAACAGACAAAAATCCCTGTCCTCTTGGAGTTTACATTCTACTGGAGGAGAAAGATGATAAACCAAACAAAGTACATAACATAAAGAAAATTGCCCTGGAGAAAAAGTAAAGTAGAAGAGGGACTAGGGAATGCTGCTGTTGTTGAGTGAATTGCAATTTTAGGTAAGGAACAGAAATCACTGAATTTCAATTTTAGATGAAGAATTGAGAAATCATCATCACTGCATGAAGCTTTTTGGTCCCTTCCTCTGTGTGTAATATAGAACCTAACTACACACAATCATCCTGTTTTATATGCACAAGTTTCTCACAAAAGACTCCTTTTTAGGAGATGATGAGCATGTTTTTCTTTTTGTTTTAAAGTACGTGTTGACCTGTGGTATTATAACACATTTCTAAGCAGAAGAAATTAATAATTTCTATAAGTACGTGAGGTGCTGGATATGTTAATTAGCGTGATTGTAGTCATCACTTCACAGTGTATACATATCTCAACACAGGACACTGTCCACCTTAGATACATACATTATTTGTAAACTATGCAGAGAAGTGGGGAGGAGAGTCTGCTCCTTTTTTTGAAACCCCACATGGGCAAATCCATATTCGGAGTAACAAGGATCGCTCCATAAATCCTTCTGGATTGGAATGAAGGCCACAGGCAGTCCTGGGGTCCAGCAGGCATATCTCTGTAGACGCAGCTCGGACTCTTGGGTGAGCCTCAGAATATCTACTTAGGATACCACTTGCCTTTGCCAACCAACATGGATGAAAGACCAAGAACGTCCCATCATAAAACATGAAAATTCTCATTCTCAGACAGGAATGCTTCTGAAGAGAGGGTGCTGTGTAAAGAACTACGCTCTTCCTCAAGTCTTCATTTGTCTTTGGGCATTCTTTCAGTTTGCCTTTCAGTCTGGGCAGACAGAAAACCTAACAGTCACCACCATGAGCATGAGAGCAGAAAGATTGGTTTGGAATTTACCTGTCTGCCGTGCAGTGGTCTTAGAGTTATGTGCTCTCTGTGCCTCAATCTCCTCATCTATAAAATGGGTATGATGATCTTACAGGACTGCTTATAAATTAACTGGATAATGGAAGGGAATTATTTAACCTCGTGCTTGGATATAGCAAGGGCTCTATAATTGAAAGCAGATGTTATTACTAGTTTCTTGCTGGCTCTACTGCTTCTCTTTTTAAAAATGAAAATTCTCTTTTTAAAAATAAAAATTTGTATAAAATCCATTCCTGTTTTTATTCAGCATAACTGACACCAGCTAGATTTTTGTAAATAATTTACTTAGTATTAATAGGGACTATAAGGGAAGAATTATTGTTAAGTATAAAAACACCATATTCTAAACATATAACAATAAAAGACAAAAATTGTATTTCTAAATGTAAATTGTATATTCCTAGTAAAGGTAAGTATGTTCCAGGAAAAAAAAAAAACACCAAAACAAGATGACAACATTAAAAGTGTGGACAGATTCAATGACCTGTTCCTGGGTTTGGGCTACCTTCCCATACCTGTCACCCTGCAAACTAAGGAGCTATTTCTCTTAACTTCTGCTAATCACTCATCAATAAAACCATTTTCTGCAAACTAAGGAGCTATTTCTCTTAACTTCTGCTAATCACTCATTTCAATAAAACCATTTATACCCCACCCAGGAAAAAGCTATAGACATGTAGCTACCTTTTTATTATCATCCAGAACAGTGTTCATATTTTCAATCCAAACAGCATCTACTGGCCCATCAAATATAATCCACTTGCGGTCATCAGACGTTGAAGATGCTTGCTCCTGAAAAGCACTGGCTAGGACACCATCTGTCCACTCGTGGCTCACTGGGTCAAAACACCCATACAGCTGCCCCATTGTGATAGCCTTGGGATTGATGATCTTGTACTCCACAGCAAACTCCTCCATCTGGTTGGCTGGGTGAGAAGGTCCAACACCATTTGTAAAGATCTCATCAGACCAAAATGTTAGACATGAGATACTGCCATCCCCAAGGCTAACCAGCCATTACAAATGTGTGATCCAAGGAGAGACTATAAAATATGTACTCAGTCTTACAAACACTGGGATATCTAGATAGATTATATCTTAAATTGGGGGGGAATTTATACTCATTAGTTTTGCACTTTACTTTCTTCTCACTCTGATTTCTAACAGGGCAAATGTGCTAGTTAGATCCAGGACTAAAAAAATCTGACTAGAACTAAAAGAACTCAAGCGTAAAGAAGAGAAATGTCAAACTGGGTGGGGGGTTAGCTCAGTGGTAGAGCACTTGCCTAGCATGTATGAGGCCCTGGGTTTGGTCCTCTCTACCCCACACATACACATACACACACACCAGAAGGAAATAAGACAGGTGACTTTTTATCAGCCCCCTTTATTTACCTGGCTGTCATAGCCACCATAAGAACCTTAGCTTTTGGCTTGGGATAATGATAGTTAAAGAGATTCTGGAAAATGATGGCTATTTTCTCTATTTGAAGGGCTAGTTCAGCCCTTGAAATCCTTTTCTTAACTGCTTGATAAGTGTCATTTGTCCCTTGAGAAGCACATATTTGGGCTGATGGATGGCACAGCACCATGTTTAATAACAGATAATGACACTTTTACATGATTCTTCAAAGTTAGAGAAGGTTGGAGTACATGAGGCATGCACTAAAGATTGCTTCAGAATTCTGAGGCAAAGACAATGATTTTGCTTTCCTTTTCTTCATTTAATTTCTTAAAGTGTATTCAAATGCCGAAATTATTTTATACTTAAATTTGAAATGCCCAAATTAGCTATTATGGTTATTAGCCCCTCAAAACAAAATCTCAAAAATTCAAGGGCAATTTAATAATCAAGTGTCATTAGAAAACAATTTTAAATAAAGTACTTGAAACGATTATGTAAACACATATACAGTGTAGGGTTGTTTTTCAAAACTACAGGTTTGCATATATACTGGGATAAACAAGCAAATAAATCCCAGCTGGGAATATTGGTGCACACCTGTAATCCCAACACTCAGGAGGCTGCGTTGAGTTTGAGACCAGCCTGGGCTACACTGTGAGTTCAGGGCTAGCCTGATTACAAAGGGAGATCCTGCCTTAAAAAAAAATACCTGAACTGTTTCTTTGGCAATAAACATAGCCATTTGTTGGGAATGTACCGTGCTAGGTTGTTTACCTTATAATCTCATTTAATTCTCACAACAATCCCAATTTACAACTGAGAAAACAAAGGATAAGAGAGGTCTAGTTATTCACCCAAGTTTGAGTCTGATTCAGAAGTATGAGTTCTTATCTTCAACCTTAAAAAAATTGGAGGAAAGGAAATAGGGATACAGGGAAAGGGGGAAAAGAAAAATGAAGAGAAGATTGAGTGGAAAAAAGAAAGGAAAGGAAAGGAAGGATAAGAAAAGGAACGGAAAGTAACATGCCATACTTTGCTTTTGGACTAGTTTTATTTAGGCCACTGACGGAGTTCCTTTCTTCCTGGTTAACCGTTGTAGGAAACACTGTTGAGCATTTGAGAAATTCCTCCAGTCTTAATGACATGCACATGAGTCCCTTGTTAGAAACCCCTCATGGCCCTAGCCTTTATTATCTGCCTACAGACATCTGTGCTGTGTTCTATTTCTAGTTTTGATGTCATGATCCAGGGCTGGCAAAACTCACAGCCTGGCATTATCTCCCCAGTCTCCCCGGAGCCAGCCGACTAAGTGGGGAGTGCTATCTTCTCTGGAAGCCAGGGCTGTGAGCTTTACCTGCATGTAAATCACCCAGAGCTGCAGCCAACACTTTATAAGCTGATGTCTTGCCTCCCATGGGGTCTCCAACAATCATATAGCCATGTCTCACCAGCATCATCTCATAGATCTGTGAGAAGATATCACAGAAGTTAATCGTTGCAAACCTTTCCACACTGCAAGTTAGAAGTCAGTGAGGGGGCCGGGGATTTAGCTCAGTGGTTCTGCCACCTGCCTTGTAAGCGTAAGGACCTGAGTTCAATCACCGGTACCAAAAAAAAAAAGAAGTCAATGAGGGATGAGGGGTTGGAATGCAATTTTCACAGACACTTCTAACTTTGCTGAACTTTGCTCCTTAGTAATCTATTGTTTAAATATATCCTGGATAAATAAATATACATGTGTCTCAGATTATTTAAGGGAGAGAAAATGCTGGTTTTTTTCTTCACCTGTCTATGTGCTAAGTATAAAGTTATCATCTAAATCATTCATTTAATCTGCTAGGAATCATTAATCACCTTCCATAGATGACGAGAGCACTGAACACGAGAGGTTAAGACACTTATCCAGGGGCTGAGGATTTAGCTCAGTGGTTCTGGCACCTGCCTCACAAGGGGCAAGGGCCTGAGTTTGATCCTTGGTACAAAAAAAAAAAAATTATCCAGGCTTTGTGGTGATGGAGCTAGGATTTGAGCATGAGGCTTTCTGACATCAATGTTTTAGTCTTTATTACACCATTGCCATTTTCTTAAAAGTTTTTAATTGACACATATTATTTGTACATATTTATGGAGTATGATATGATACTCAATACACATATACAATGTGTAATGATCAAATCAGGGTAATTATAATTAGCATTTCCATATCCTCGGACATTTATCATTTCTATGATCGCTCTAGAATTAGAGAGTAGAATGATGGTAACTAGAGGTTAGAAAAGGTAGAAGAAAAGGGTGGGTAGAGATTAGATTACTGGTACCAAAACATAAGAATTACTTCTGGTGTTTTATAGCACAGTAGGGCAACTATGACCCACAACATTTATTAAAATGCCATTTACTTTTTAAAAGGAAGTGATGATTTTATGGTCTTTCTTTCTTTCCTTTCTTTAAAAGGTAAATTCTAGCCCAGGCTAGTCTCAAACTCAAAGTGATCCTTCTGCTTCAGCCTCCTGAGTGATGGGATTACAGGCGTGTGCCACCACTGTGCCCAGCCTGGAAGTGATCATTTTAGCAACTGCATTTTTATTGGAAACCTGCACTCTAAAATTGCTGTTCTGACTTGACTGTAACTCTCAGTAGGTGAAAATGCATTTTCTAAACCAAGCTCTATGCTGAAAGATATTAACAACAGTCCATGTAATTTTAGCCCCTTACCCTTGAGAATCTAGTCACGTGGAAGCCCATTTCATGAATTTCCCAATTATTCATTTTTGTCTGTGATAAGTTGTAATAGTTGAAACAAATGCTTTGGTCATTTGTTTTTTTTTGTTTGTTTGGTACCGGGGATAGAACTCAGGTCCTTGCACTTGTGAGGCAGGCTTCGGCACCACTGAGCTAAATCCCCAGCCCTGGTCATTTGTATTTATTTGAAAACTTGTGCGCTGCCTTCAAAATGACAGTCTTTCAGAGAAATAAATCTTTTAAAGATCAAGTTGTTATTTTTCACCTTGGATGTGAACAATAAAAAGGGTTTAAATGAAAGTAGTGACAGCAGGGATGAAAGGACATATGTCATTCAGCAAATAAGTTAAGCATTTACTCTATGCCAGAAATTGTTCTGGGTGCTGCAGACAGAGCACAGAAAGAACAACAAATCCCCAACCGTCAGGGCTTGAAAGATGTTTCAGACTGAATAGCAGTGACAGAGTTGACTGTGTATCAGAAATGAAAGGTAGGCAGCGACGACTCAATAGCCTCTCAGCTTCCCCCTTCCACACTCTGAAGTGGACGGTCAAAACATCAGTATACAAGAGGACAGGTAGTTCCAGGTATCTTATTTTTAAACACATTAGCTTGTTTTTTTCGAAAATTGGAACCTAAAAGCTCATGCTTAAAGAGCAGTCAGTCATAACATTTAGCAAATACACTGGGATTCAACATTGGATTAAATGAAGTATATAAAAAACTAGCTCATTGGGAGATGAGCTATCTATCTCCACAAGGCAGTCTGATCTGATAATCTGGGGACCTGGATCCACCTTGACCTTTATTCCAACTAACAGGGTGGTGACCTTATAACAATGCGGCTCTCTGGGGGGACCCCGTCCCGCGGGGAATAGGAGGTGAGAGCCGCCTCTTATTCGTGGGTCATCAGAGGCCGATCCGATCTTGAATGTCTGTGAAGGAAATCTTTAAGAAGTTAGAGTACACGGCCCAAGTCTGGTTTCTGATCAAAGGCGCTTTATTGGCTCAGCAAAACGATTATATACTGTTATCCCAGGGGGAAGGTTCAGCAAGCTTATTGGACAGTTCAAACAAATCCTCTACCAATCACATGAGTCATTCAAGCATTTAACCATAAAGGGACAAAGCACTTAGCAGCATACAGCAATCAGTATTTTACCAAATGTGGGGAGGGGTAAGTGGGAAGGCGTACATCAACAATTAACCCTATGCAATCTTTAACTTAACAATCTCTAGGGGCAAGCAGGACAAGGAAATACCACCGGCCTCCTGCTCCAGATCCCGTGACCCTGTGGTTAGCACAAAGGGCTATTCTTTCTGTAAGATTTCCTGTTTGCCCAGGGGCTAAACCTGCCAAAAGTCACGTACGTAGTCTAGTGGGATTTTTCCACCGAGGCAAAGGCTAAGGTTGAGGGCAGCCATCTTGTGCAGGCCCAAGCAGTCTCTCACATAACAATGCTGCTGCTGATGGCTAAGGAGCTAGGAGGGATGATAACACTATAGTATCAAGAACTGTACCTAGCACTTTCCATACCTAGTCTCTTAAGATTGTGGGGAAGGTTTTACTCCCTCCATTTTACAAAGGAAGAAACTGAGGCTCAGAGATGATAAAGTAATTTACCCAAATCTCACAGCAAAAAACTCATGGGAGTGATATTTGAACCAAGGTCTGTATTAAACCCATATCTTTTTCCTCTCTGGATCCAAGTGTCCTTTTAAAGGATGAATCTGATGGGTCACTTGGCCTGTGATTCTGTAAATAAAGTACTGTACATTTGGCACTTATTTAATTCAATATATCATCGTAAATTAGTTTTACATAGAAAGCAATCCTAGGGAGGGAACTCTGAGATTAGCAAGAAGCTTTATAGAGTTTCTACAGGATCAAAACTGTAGAGATATTTGTGATTTCCCTGCCCAATATCCCTTCTGCTGTCTCTTGATAGTAGCACCCTGATTTTCTTGAGGAGCCAGCACCTGTGGGATGGGGCTGACTTGGGTCAGGGTGATTCTATCTCTATTTGGTTATGGTCCAGGTCTTTTCTCTGTAATTGGCTCAGAGATGCTCATGTGACTTTACCAGATCCATTCAATGCTATCTCTGGCATTTTTGCTGGAGCCACCTCAAAGGGGATGTTCTTTTTTTTTCTTCTGGGCTTGCACCTGAGACACTAGAAGCCTGAGGCTACCAGAGGAAGGACTGAGTACCAGAGAATGAAGTTTTAATACAGAGGGAAGCAGCACTCAAGTGATGAGAGGTAGATTCCTGACGACATTACCAAGAACCTTGAAGCCTGCTATATCTGAGACCAACAATACATCCTTGTACTGTCTAAGTTAGGTGAGTAAAAAAGGGTTTGTTGTTGATTAAGGCAATTTGAGTTGGATTTCTATCATTTGGAATAGAGTCCTGACTGACTCAAAGTTCAATGCCCCCACAGGCTTTCCTTCATTCTCAAATTAAAAAAGAGGGCTGGGGATTTAGCTCAGTGGTTCTGCCTCCTGCCTTGCAAGCCCAAAGTCCCAAGTTTGATCCCTGGTACAAAAAAAAAAAATCAAATTAAAAAAGAAACCCTAAGGAAGGTAGCTGTGGAAACAATGTTGGATTTTAAATTTCAATTCCTAGGAACAAAAGTGAAGGCACAACAGATGGTTAAGTGTTCCTTTTGCTTCATCTCTACTCAGGCACCTCTGATTGCTGTCAGCCCAGTCCCATTTTCCCAAAGTCTTCCTAGTTCCTGACTCCAGCAGACAGTATAACAGGCACATTCCCTTATGGATACAAGGAACCAACCTGGATAATTTTCCCAATAAACCAAGGCACTGCCTGGAGTTTCATCTTTTTTATGTTATCATTCAGTGCTTCCAGAAAAACTTCATAGTCTGGCTTTGGAAGAACAACCCCAGGAAACAAATCTGATATGATTCCCTGTTAACAAGAATTAGAGAAATACACGATGATGTATTAGATATATAATCTTAGTATTTTCCTAAAATGAGATCTCTAGACAGCAGAAATGTTTGAAAACTCCCAAAGTTCATTGCCTGCATTAAAACTCATCTAAAATTGTAAGAGTCACCAATGTCTGTTAATCTTACTTTCTCTCCCCAATAATTTTAAAAATTAGCAAATACTTAATGTATATGGTAGTATCTTCTAGTCACTATAATAAGGATGAATAAGATAGTCATGGTTTCTGCCTTCATGGAGCTCACAGCTGGTAAGGAAGACAGGCATTAAATCAATTAGGGAAACTAATTATGTTGGATAAAAAACACCCACCCAAACTCAACAACAAATACTATCCTATTAAACCATTTTTGAAATTAAAATTAGGAACTAGACATGGGTGTTTGTTATTACCATTATCATTTAACATATGGAAGACAGAATGAGGCCACAGAGATGGTGGCTGGAATGAGAGAAGGTAGGGTGCCAAAAGGCAGAAGATACACAAGTAGTGCCAAATAAAACCTTTTCTCTTTAGCAGCTGAGCCTACATCCTTGACCGAGATCTCAAACTACTTCATACCTCAAAGAGAGGTCACACCGAAGAAAGTATACAACTATCGGGCTAAAGAACTTAATCTGCCTCCCTCCACCACAGCCCCGAGGGTCCTGAAGAGGTAGCCTGAATGGGCTGTATTTGCAGAGGGCTTCTGCTGTTACAGTTTGTTTAGCTGTGTGGTGACTACACAGGTGCTCACTATTTTTATTCTCTAACTTTCATCTATCTAAAATATTGTGGTGCCTTGGTTCACAGACTTCTTTCCACGGTTCTGGTCACAAAAAAAAGAACCAAATTCAGTGGTTAGATTCAGTGTTGAATGACCGACCTTACAGGGAAATTTGTTTTGGCTCTTACCTGGTTCGGTTTGTGACCAGGATCATGCAGAGTCCAGTGTGTGAACCAAGGTACCACTGTAACAAACTAAAAACTGGTGGTCTTTGCCACCATCACAGGCCACCTGCTGCCCCCGGCCATACAAAAATGGATTTGGTCACAGGGCTGACCAGGGTGGCTGTGCATCTGCTGCTGAAACAGTGAGCTTTGTACCTGCAAGCAGCTCTGGGCTTGGGGATCTGACCTGGCCCAGCTCAAGCCTCAACCCCTTTCCAGAAAGGGGAGGCATAGATGCCTCAGTGGTTTCGTACTGCAGAATCCCCACCGTGCTTCTTCAGTTAAAGTCATTCTGTTGCCTTTGCAGCTGTCAACGTTAAAACTGCAGAGATTTTCAGAGCCTCCTTTAAAGATCGAGGCCCGGAGGAGCTGCTGCGTGCGGCGCGGGCTCTAGCGGGAGGCCCTGTAAGTGCACCGTGTTAGGGGGTTGCAGGGATGCGGGATAAACTGCCCAAGCCCTGAGCTTGACTCCACCTTTACAGGCCGTAGAAAAGTTTGTCTGCCTCTAAAGCTGTAAATTGCCAGGGACTCCCACAGGTACACTTTCCCATTTTGTTACAGAATAAAGATTTTAGGTTTTAAGTTCAAGACCCCAGTTGTCTGCCTAGAAGGTGCAAGAGGTGGTGTGAACCCACAATGTACAGATGCAAAGAGCATGAGCCTATGTCTGTAACCTGTACAATGAGAAGAGCAGCAAAGGGAGAAGGGAAGTCTCTCCTCTTTGTACTTGGGATTATCCTCCCTCTCCTTTTCCCAATACTGAGGATTAAGGCCAGGGCCTTTCACACCCAGTCCTTTATTTTTATTTTGAGAAAAGGTCTTAAGTTGCTCAGGCTGGGCTCAAACTTGTGATCCTTCTGCCTCAGCCTCCCAGAGTGCTGGGGTTACAGGTAATGCATCAGAGATCATACCTTTTTGTTTCTTTTTTTTTGGGGGTACCAGGGATCGAACTCAGGACCTTGTGTTATTGGGGATCAACCCTAGGGCCTGGCATATGCTAAGTTAAGTGCTCTACTACTGAGCTACATTCCAGGGTGCTTTTTAATTCAGTATTTTTAAAGTTAATAAAGTCCCACGTGAGGAACAGGTGGGAGAATTCTTGTAAAATGCTCTGAGTAGAAAGTATAGCCCAGTGGTATAGCACTTGCCTAGCATGAGCCAGGCCCTGGCTTGATCCCCAATAACACACCAAAAATGAAAACTTTCACTGGCTGTGTTGCACACACCCGAAATCCCATTACTCTTCAGAGTCTGAGACAGGAGGATCACAAGATCAAGCCCAGGCCATGAGACCCTATTTCAAAATAAAAAATAGTGCCAGATTCCACCCACAGTACCACATGCGGTGGGTGGGGGGCGCTCAGCTTAAAACAAATCAAATGTGTTTGTTAAACACTGGAAAATGTTTGGCGTCAGACCAATTTGTTTTGCCAGACTTTTAACATTTTTAGGCTTCCTTCTGTTATTCCTTAAATAGCCTAACAACCCTAATTTACTTACTCAGAAGATATTTCACCCTTAGTAACCAAAACTGAACATTGCTGGTTAAACTGACAATTATCATTGACTAATTTGGGGAATTTACGGGATGGATCATTTGGTAAATTAGCTTTTTACAATTGGTGCTTTTTCTTCCTTTTGACGGGGCATCAGGCATTGAGAGTTTTCAAGTTGCAAGATTATTAGATGCTCAAGTTGCAAGATTATTAGCTGTCTATAATGAAGCAGTGTTTTGTGTAGCTGTGGAGAGCACCCATGCCAGACACGCTGGGTTTGAGGCCCATCTCTGATGCTCAGTGCACAGAGCTATTGGGTTTTTACCATCTCCTCAGAGGACTGCTGTCGGCACTACACAGTGTTCAGGGCCAGACACAGGGCTACACCTCACACACAGTAAACACTCCCCACTTCCTCCTCTTGAATTACTCTTTCAGATGATTAGCATTTACGATGCAAAGACTGAACAACTTCGAATAGGCCCGTATTCCTGGACACCACTTCCACATGTGGATTTCTGGTTACAGCAAGACGACAAGCAAATACTCAAGGTAAGAATTTAAAGGCCAAGTACCTGTTAAATCTCTGGGTCCTGATTTCCTCAGCTGTAAGGAAACAAAAGGGTTTAGATGAGCTAACAGCTGCTTTTTCCTTAGTGAGTAGCAGAGTTTTTGGAAGCCACTAGCAAACCTTGTGTAACTTTTCTGCCAGATGGGGCTAAGTGGTGTCCTCTGTAGAAGTGCGCTGGTGGAACAGTAAGGAGTCCCCTGCACACGTTGCGGGAGATACACGTAGTGATTTGAGAACGCCCTGACTAGTATTTTAGAAAGCAAGGAGAAAGGAACAGGCAGGTGGTTCTGTCATGCCCACTCTCTTTTTCCCCCCCAGAATCTTTCAACTTCCCCTTTGGCGGAGCCCCCCCACCTTGTTGAGCATATAAGATCTACCTTGATGTTTTTAAAAAAATATCCATCTCCAATGAACACACTGTTTCCTGGAAATAAAGCTCTCCTCTACAAAAAAAATGAAGATGGCTTACGGGAAAAGATCTCTTCTTCAGGAAGCTAAAAGTAGGAATTACCAAAGCAAGCGACTCTTGGCATAACAAAGACTGCTGGTGGGGTTTGGAAAGAACATGAATTTGGAATCTATATCCATTGAGTCTTAGGTCTTTTTCCTTACTCGTACCTTTCAAATGACTTTCAAAATAAAATCTTATTTTGGCAAAGGCATTTGTTTAGCTTTCCTTTTATGTCAGTGTCCAACCTTTTCTTTTGGGTCAGTAATAATGGGCAGAGGAGAAGCTACCTCACTGGTCTGTCAGCAGCTGTTTGAGATACGTGGGTAAGTATTTCTCTCCTCAGTTCATAAAAACTGAGTTTTTAAAATGCAATAAAATTTAGTGAGAATTTATACATCTCAATTCTTTTTCTCAAAAATACTTTGAAAGCTTCACATCCAAAACTGACCTATTTCTAGATAAATGAAAGGTTGAAAACAGATAATTGTATTTGAGAATAGCGAGGTCAAACCCTCAGATAATCTGAGTTTAAATTTGATTAGAGAATTATACAGAGCCACTGATGTCAGTTCCTTTAGATGCTATTAAAATGCCCGAATTTGTGCTCACTTTGGCAGCACACGTACTAAAATGCCCAGGTTGTAGTTGCTATGCAAGCTACACTTTTAGGAACCTGTTTCTCAAGTTCCTATTCAAAAGGAAATCACAATGTTTAATAGTAAGGTTTATAAACTGAGTTCCCTGGTAACAATTTCCAGAACCTTTATTGAAACCAACATTCAAACAGTATCTCAAGGGTGAAGTTCTGTTTCAGCAAAACTGATATAACAATTCCAAATATATATATAAAAACATTTAAAAATTAATCTTGTTAAAGGTGATAATTTACCCGTCCCATGTTATCTGCTGTACTTCATTGCACCAAAAACACAGGGAAGACTGTTTAATCTGCACCAAAAAATAAGGGAAATTATTTTGACAAGTGCCAAATGGCAAAAATCACATCGAATCAGTGTAACTATAGGCTTAATGTGGTATAACTAAGGCTTCCCACGCTAGTCCACAGACCCAGTGTGAATTCCCCACTGTCTTAACTTTCCCATCGCTCGACTTTGCAGGACTGAAAAGGCACAGGGGCCCAACCTTAGAACAAAGAGGACGTAGCACTTTGGGAAAACAGAAACTGGTAGGAATTTGGGGACTGACTTGCAGTCATTTCAGCCTGGAAGGGACACTTTTCTGGCTCTCACTTCTGAGCTGGACCCAGGGTGAGCTGTGAGTGGAAGAGAAGCTACAAACCTCTGGAAGGAGACAGTCAAGGGCGAACTTACTTGAGCATTCCAACCCGTGTAGTACTGCACATATGGTCAGGAAGAGACTCAACAGTTATTCCTAGTTAGACAAGTCCTTAAGTTTGTTTACAAAGAGTGTAGAAAGGGAGAAAAGATTTGTGGCAAAGGACAGCCCCAGACAGAAGCCCTGCCACGGCTCAAGTGGACACAGTCCTTAAGTCTCCAGGAAAAGCAGCAGGTGGGGGTGCAGGAGAGGGCTCTTGAAGCCCTGTGGTGACCACCAGATGAAGGTCACTGCTGTCTCGCCTCTGTGGAATCACAGCACAGAACCCGGAAGAGACCTAATAAAGTCTCCATGTGCAATCTAATCACGTAAGCTTATGTTCAGAAAGACAAGAGCAAGTGTTCCAAGTGGCAAACACCTGAAATTGTGAGTGTTCTTTAGGAATAAAAGTGGGAAAGTCGTTTTGCTACCTTTGGGCAGGCCAGAAACAATAGTACGTTGTTCTGTGTACACATAAAATAATTGATTGCCCTCCTGGGAAGCCTGGCTTTCAGGCATATATTTGTGCAAAAATCCCAGCCAGCACAGGTCCTTTCTACTGGATGAACATGTGGCACCGTTCACTTTCAGTGTAACGTCTTCCCTGAAAACAGTCAGTACAGTCTCAGTCCAATACTGGATTTTATCTTAAGCTCTCCGGCTCCTGCACCTGCGGGCACTCATCTTCCAGACGCTGGGCACTGTTCTGGAGGGCTCCAGTCTGGCCGGCCTGAGGGGCTGGTGCCCCCGGAGGTTGCTCAGGGCTGTGGGCCTCTAGAGTGCTCTGCTCAGGCCCACTGGACATGTCTTCCACCTTTTCCAAGTCTTCGATGTGACTCACCGAGCTGGTCTCACTCATGGCATCTGAACCTCTCAGGGACCTCTTAAAAGGCTTCTGACCTGGGAAAAGGGACGAACAGTGCTGACAGCTTGGAAAGGAGGCCCAGTGACGAAGGCTCTCTGGAAGCCTGGTTACCACTTTATAACTGCGTGGGCAAAAATCCTGGAATTTCTCGTTCACAGTAGCTACTGTGATTCTTTCATGTTCCTCAGGCTGGGAACTTCTGAGGTCATCTTAAGCTCAGGAGAATGAACATCACGATTAAAATAATGCCAGCCCTCCAGACCCCAACTTGCCCCCCTCCAGTGCCACCAAGGCACTTCTGTGCGGTGAAGTCTCAAGGCTACTGAATGGTTATTTAAAGGGACAGTGGTACATGGTCTTAAGTATATAAAAATAGGAGTTGGGGTTAAGGAATCAGTAAAACAGGAATGAGAGCTAACCTCAAACAACGGAAAACTGTTAAACATGATGCAAAGGTCTGTTTTCCTCCCCAAGAAACAACCGATTTTCTTCCAAGTTAATGAACTCAAACTGATGTAACGCACCTGGCAGTCTCTGTCTGGTGCGAGTGCCTGAGGGCGTTGGAGGCGGCGTCACTCCTGTACCTTGTACTTTGTAGACATACGTGTGTTCTGTGGACTCGAGAGAGCCTGTCGGGGAGAAAGAACAGTGGGCAGAAGCTCCTGGCAGCGGCTGCCCTGAGTGATGCCACTGCGTGTGCCTTCCTGAAACACGCCAAGACCCAGAGACAGCTGGGTTAAGCGGCCCCTGCCCTGCTGAGTGTCTGTGCCCTCCCCACTCAGTCCCCGGGAGCGGCCCACCAGGGGAATGTGCTTCAGCAACAAGGAACGGATGCCGCTTTGCTTAAGGCTTGGCGGATTAAAACTCAGATTATCTCCTGCCCTTGTTGACAGTACGGTCATTTCCTGGGGAAAGGGACCTTGGGTTTCGGGAATGTTATTTCCTTGGCAGAACAGGAAAAGAGGAGTCTGGGCTTTAATATCTTCCTCAAATTCTAGCAACTGGTTATACTTCTGGTTGCCTGGTTTGAGATTAAAAGTTGCAGAGCTGTGTGCTCTGACCTTAGAATTCCCCTTTCAAAAGCAGCCCTGTGCTGGGCAGAACATGCAAGAGGACTGCAAGGACCAGTAAGCCCAAGCTCATGCCCGGAGAGCTGAATGGACCGGTTCTCGTGGATTCAGGGGAGGGGAGTCCGCTTACTACAGGACTGAGCACCTCCTTCCCACTATTTTAGTGATGGAGGGGACTGGAAAAACACGGCAGGGCAGCAGGGACTCAGATTCCTGGCAGAAGGGACAAACACTAGGAACTGTAAGGGAGGGACTGTGCAGCGTGAGGGATGTCGGAACTAATAGCATCTGGTCAAAACTCCCATGTAAATGAGACCTGAGCCGAGACCAGTTACTCCTACCTGCTGTTAAGTTAAATGTTCTTCCCTTTTGTGAAGCGTGTACTGGAGAAAACCAATTCAGCACGGACCCTACTACAGGGATCTGCCGCAGTACTCCCTGCAAAACATAACCCTTGTTCCTCAGGATCATGCCGACAAGCTAGGCTCCCTGCCCAGTGCAGCTGGCCTCACCTCCTCCAGAAGTCGTTCCTCATTTGCTTTCTGCAGCTGAACCTGGGCTTCCTGAATTCCTTTCCGGACGACTTCTGTCATGTTTTCCAGAAGCTACAGAAGACCAAGAAAGGCATTACTGGCTTACACTTCTTGCTGGGATGGACAGGAACTGCGGACACAGCACTGGGGATGTTTTACAGAAGTACATTATTCTGCATTTGTAGGCCAGAGTGAAAAACCAAACAAGACAGTAAAATGCTTGTGGAGGCCCAGACACACCTCAGTGACCAGCCTTGCTTGATAAGCAACAGGAGAAAAAACTACTGACATCCTGAATGTCTTATCAATAGAAACACATCACCCACTCAACATTCAAGGAGAAAAAGATGGAAGCCATAGTCAGGTTTGGAAGAAACCTCAACGGCCCAACCAGCTGTGAATGGAGCTGGTTCCTCAACTTCATTTCAAACTCCCTTCTCTTCTGACCCCTACCCAAAGCAAGATACATGACAAGCACCTGTCTTGTCTCAGACACATCTGGCTTAGGGAATGGCTACTCTGGTCCTTTGTGCCAGCTGGCCAAGCGGCAGGTCTGTTCCTGGTGGGAGTCCTGTTACCGGAGATGCCCGTTTCACCTGTCCTCAGGCCCAGCTTCTTTCAGGAGCTCTGCACCGAGCTGGCAGGCAGAGGGGTCTTCTGGAAAGTGCAGCTACTGTGAATACACAGCACTCGCTGCACACTTACACGTGAGTGTGCATCTCCCCACTGCCTGCCAAGTCGAGGGCAGTAACTGTGTCAGGCCTACTTGGCTCTCCTGATGTCTGGCACGACACTTCAACCATGGGGACACTGACAGACGTTTTGGGGGTGAGTGGACATTTTTCACGGCTGCTTCCTCTCTCATGACCCCAGTTAGATGGGGAAGCATACCCCCTCAAAAGCACTGATCAGTCTTACAGACCCTTGAGTTTTCCTCAATTTCCCGAGCTGTGACTGCAATTGTCTCCACCAGTTCAGACACATCTATGTCGTCGCTGGCCACGCCAACGTAAATGCAGCTCTTCATACTCTTGTACTCAGGGCCTGTAGGCAGAAACAGCAGACAAGCTTGGCTCCCGTTCTGTCGAGTGAGGCCTGGCCACTCCCCTTTGTAACTGCAGGACCATGAAGAACTGCACCTCCCCCTGGACCTAACCTAAAGCTTCCTCCAGGTGGATGAAGCCGTCGAGCCCATTAGAAAGCTCCCTTCCACCCTGCAGTTAACTCACAGAAGCAGTAATTACCCATTCTAAATGTAAGGTCGGATTCCAGTTCATTTAACTTTTTCAGGAGTCCAGCGTGGATTTTTTCTCCCTCTGGGTCGGATTTCAAACTGCTCTTATCATCATTTGCATGTTCATACCTAAAAACAATATCGAACAATAGCATTTTAATCAGACGTCAACTGTCTCCTGAAACACAGGGTTATAGGGAGAGACTGACACAACATGAAGACCAATGGGCAAAGGAGCCTCTGGCGGTATCTTTCTTGTTTTGGTCTTCTGAGACAGAGTATTACTGTGTAGTTCAGGCTGGCCTTGAATTCACCATGTACTGGCTTGAACTCAGCAATTTGTCTGCCTCAGCCTCCCAAGGGCTGGGATTATAGGTATGCAATACCATGCTTGGCTGAATAGTGTCGAGAATGAAAACTCTCAAGAATATAAATAAGGCCTAAGTAATTGGCTTTACAGGAAAGAGAGGCAAGGTCTGGGAGTCTCATATATGCAATGAAAAGTTCTTATTAAAGAGGACAGCACCACAGGGCTGCATGCACTCACTAGAGGCCAGTGGTGTGCGGTCTCCCAGGAAACGGTTGTGTTTCTTACCTTTGTGGAATACTCTGTATACCCCAGATGGCATCTCCCCACTGGTATCTCCCACAGGCACATACAGAGCACACGCTGCCTCCTAGGGACGTCTGCTTTGCTGAATGCAATGGTGGGCTGAGGTGCCTGCTGGGCCTCGTAAATTCCCTTAAGTTCTATCTAGTTGAATTTTGGACAGACAGCTATGTTGTGACTGCACATACTCATCTTGAATTTCAAAGCTGGTTCGCAAAATGACCCACCATGTGCTTTATTCGGGAAAGTCTCCAATATCAAGAGGCAAGCCAAGCCTTTACCTGACAACCCCTATTCCAGGCCAGTTCGGGTCATCAACATAGAGGAGACCTGCAGTCCCTTCTACTTCCTGCTTGAATTCTTCTCGCAGCTGCAGCGTACAGGTCAGGACAGGCAGTTTGCTTTGGACGCAGGCTACAAGCTGATCCACATCCTCTCCTTTTGTTCCTAACACTTGAAAACATTCACAGAGCATTTGAGAAACATAAGGAATGGCTTACAGGAATCCCCTCCCCACCCTCATTGGCAAAGCCAAAAGCTCTAGGTGTGGTCAGTCAGCTAGAGCTGAGGAGTCAAGAGAAAGGCCACCTAACCCACCAGGAAAGAACCAGGTGTTAAAAACTAGCACGGCTGGTGCTCCAGCTGTTTCATAGGTTTGGCACACGGTGAAACTCCAGTGTAGAAAATGGACTCTTGTCACACACAGCACCGCTCTGGTCTGATTATAAGAGAACCCGAGGTTCTCGACATTACCACAGTGGAGGGCAAGGGAAGGGCTTTGGAGGTCTGTGTTGGGGACACCAGCAAGGGCAGGGCAACTGCAGTCACTTCAAGGCCACAAGGCTCCCCTTTCTGCCCGCTCCTGCTGCCTCAGGGTGTCCTGGCCTTGCCCCCCCAGCTTCAAAGACTCAGCCCCCAAGACTGCTGGTCTGGCCATCAGTAAGCTCCACAGTGGCTTTTGCTTTGCAGGACGAATCCCTAGCATTTCCTACTCTGCTATTGTTAAGAAAAATACCTTTCTAAAAATGCTGAACATACTTCATGATAAACCTCTGTACATTTCCTAAGAATGTTTAAGTCACCTCACAGAAAAGCACACCCAAATTTATATATTTTTTTAAAAATCCAGTTTTTAAGGATGACAACTATGTATTTATGGGGTACCAAATGATGTTCTGAGACACAAATACACTGCAGTGTTCAAACTGGGAGGGGCGCTTCTATCTCCTTAAACATTCACCAGAAATATTCGAAGTCCTTTTAGCTTTCTTGAAATACACAGTACATTACTGTTACATACGGTCGCCATACTTTTTCCTCCTGTCACTTTAGTCTTCACATCACCATCAGGAGCTCGAAGATGTTACTCAGGGTCCCACAGGTATTTAATGGTGCAGAGGACACAGTCGCCAGGACTTTCTGTGGTAAAATCCACACTCTTTTGGCTGCAGGACCTTCTGAAGTGTCTAAAACAGGGGCTGTCAACTTTCACTGGCCTATTAAAATTCCAGGGAGGTGTGAATATTCTGCAACAATGCATAAGATTCTAATAAGATTACTGACATTTAGAAATGGGAAGAAAGGAGCTAAAGGTGTAGGGAAGGTGTGATGCATAGGGGAAGAACAAAAAGGGAAAAGAAAAAAATGTGAGAGAATGAAAAGACGAAAATAAAGTGTTTGTAGATGGGGAGGGGAGGAGGGGGTGAAGGGAGGTCAGAGGTAAGGGGAAAAAATGAGAATCAAGACTTGCCATGTAAAGGTACATGATCCCAACAATGAATGTAACTGTACTGTATCCCTAAATGTACCAATAAACTCAATAAAATTAAAAAAAAAAAATTCCAGGGAGATTTTTTTTTTAAGAGTAGAAAAAACTAATTGAGAGAAAGATAGTTTCTATCTCAGAGAGACAGAAGCGGGACTGCAAAGTGGGTTATCTCCCGGGGAGTTTTTAAGATGCCAATGCCCAGAGTTTCTAAGATCCTGGCAGGTCCCGTGCCTGGAGGGGGCACGGCAGCTCAGTGCCCCTTCCCAGCCTCATCTTCGCCATGCATGTCAAATCACCATGCGCTCCTTAAGGATGTACAAAACAAATAAATGCAACTGAGAAAAGGCCTAGGAAATCAGAATCTCTGTAGGGGGCCCAGCCACTGGTAGTTTTTAAAGCTCCACAGTGACTCAAAGATGCAGTTAGGAGCAAGGACCCTTGGGAAAGAAAGCCGAAGGTCACAGGACATCGAAACACAGGCATTCAAATGACTTCAGAAGCCTGCTATTTTTGAGAAGTTATAACAGGATGCTGATCTAAATTTAGACCGGAAGAAAAGAAACAGCTGACCCTTAATCTACCTCATCTTCAGTGCGCACCTCTATCAGGATCCTGTTTTTAATGAGATCCATAATGTGGGTCATCTTGCTAGTGCTACCGCTCTTCGGGACTTGGTAGTTTTTCTAGTATTGTTCTTTGCCATGCTTTCTCCTCCACAGGAACCGTAGAAATGTCTAAACTGCTGCATCTGTCACTGTCCACCTCTAATGACAGACCAGGAAATATTGCGACCTGCTCCTTCTTGGGCTCTCCATTCCAACCTAACTGTAAAGTTTATCCGTTCAAGGCTTCAGGTAGGGATACTACAGACTATAGCCCCGACTCTCCTGACAAATTCTCCAACCTTTCTCCCACTGAACAGGCAGCTTCCTGACAGGCACTCGCTTCTCAGGGCCTTCTGGCAGGTTTTCAGCCCAGTCAGCGAGCCACAGCATCCCAGGTAGTCGGACAGCACATAATCCCCACGAGGACTACTGCACACCCTCAATGTGGGTGAATTACGGGTATTTGTCTCTCAGGGAAGTGAGGCAGGAGGTTAGGGTGTGGCCAGCCAGCTGGGCAAGTTGGCGTGACCTGTCACAGTTCCCAAGGGCTACACCTGGGACCAAGCAGAAAATGCTATCTTCGCTTCTTTTGCACAGACCAAGCAGGTTTTGGATAAGGCATAGATCTGAAGTCAGCCTGGGGAGTGGGCTCAATTGTCCCACACATGCACTTTTTCTATCTTAGATAAATGTGAAACTTTTGCTACCTTAAAAAAAAGAAAAAAGAAATAGCCCCTCTAAACACTGATGCCAGAAACCACAAAACATCATAGGGCAAAAAGAATTTAGATGTGTTATGTACATGTATCTGTTCCCTATAATGAATGCAATCATTTACTGCAAAGATGAACTAAAAAACAACACAAAAGAAAAACCCCAACATATAGAGGAAAATTAAGTGGGGTGTGGCGGCACTTGCCTGAGATCCCAGCCCTCGGAGACAGAGGCAGGAGCAACTTAGCGAAGCAGCCAGGCACGCTTTCAAAAATAAAAAAAGGAATTTCAAATTCCCTATGATAAATCTTACCATTATGTATATCTAAAATGTACCAATAAATGTTTTGCTAAAAAAGAAAAGTAAAAAAAGGGCTGGGGATGCATTTTAGTGCCAAGGCCCTTGGTACAACCTCCAGTGTGGCAAAATATAGACAGACAGACAGAAGGTAAACCTAACAGCCTGGACTTTCAAAGGGCTCAAAACTGTCTCCCCAGAACAGAAGGAAGGGAAACACACAGACCAGTTACCTGCTGCTGTCATCAGAGGGCTGAACCGCACACACGTGCCCTCAACCTCCAGATCCAGGACTGTGAGGCCGCTTGCAGGCACCAGCTGTTTCACCTGTTCTCCCAGCTGCAGGAAAGAGGACAGGACGCATGTTCCCATACCACAGGACGCCACCTCCCCGCTCTGCTCGGCACAGACTGGGATGGGCTCCTGGAGCTCATTTCCTTTCATCTTCAGGGGGTTTCTGAATACTTATGGCCACTTTTGGGGCGTTTTTTGAGAAAGAGCCTCGCTGTATAGTTCAGGCTGGCCTTGAACTCACAGTGATTCTCCTGCCTCGGCCCCCCAAGTGCTGGGTTTACAGCTGTGCGCCACCATATCCTGTGCCACCTTTTTTTTTTTTAAACAGTACATACTGTTTTTATTTTTTGAGACAACGTTGCTAAGCTGCCTTGGAGGGACTAGAAATTGGAATCCTCCTGCTCCAGCTATCCTCAGTGCTGGGATCACATGTGTGTGCCACCAAACCTGGCCCCAGCCCTTTCAATTTGAGACAGGCTCTCACTAAGCTGCTGAGTGGCCCTGGCTGGACTCAAACTTGCAATTCCCCGCTCCACTCTTCAGCAGTGCTGAGATAATAAGCCTGCACCACCATGTCTGGCTTGTTTTCCTTTTTATAATACAATTCACTCTATAAAACTCTACAAAATGCAGGTAAATGAAAAATGTAAAAAGTAACCACAATACACCACTCAACCACTGCTACATGTGGTATACTACTCCAGTGTTTTCTCTGCCAATGGTGTATCTAGATCCTACAGATTCTAGTAATCTGCATTCTTCATTTAATCTGTGCCAGCCACTTCCTGGCTGCCTAACATTCAGCAACATGGTCTGTAACCATGGAGAACATGCTCACACTGTTCCGCACACCCAAGACTAAATTCCTAGAGGTACCATTTCAGTGTCCACAAGGTGTCGAAGCACAATGCCGCTGGTCCACACTGCCCAGCTGCCGGAGGTCCTCCTGGGACTCGCCTTGCTGCCCTCCCCAGAGCACAGCAGCCGTACTGCAGCCACAATGCGGCTGTTTCATGGCTGTACACTGCACAGCCGTACAGTCACGGTGGAAACTAAGGGCACGATGCCATGAAGACAGAAAAGAACCCCAGGACAAGTCGAGCGCTTGTGTTACCCCAGCCATGCTGCTCTGGGATGTAAAGAGAAAGGCAGACAGCTGCCACCTTACCCAGCGATTCAGAGCATCACAGGAATGTCTCTCCCAGCCGACTGTGGAGGGCGCCATGTTGGGCATTGGGACCGATTTACACTCTGGATCTGAGGCCAAAACAGAAAGGATTCACTCCCCAAAACATGGCCAATTTAAACACTGCACTGAGATCCTATCATTAGACCCAAGGGAACAGCCTCACATCGTACTGAAATCAGATACGATTCTGCCGGAAAGTTTACCATAATACACTTTTTTACCTCACAAACTATATAATGTCTGAATACATTTCCAGAAAAGAATTCCTAACTTCACTTTTTGAAAAAGTTTGCTTTGAAGGCCTCTGGACTAGTCAACACCTAGTCTACCAAGCACTGTGCAAAGTCAAGCACAGTACCAAGCATCCCAACTGGGCTTCCCAAAACTTCTCCTGAGCCACCAAGTCGTCCGCGAGCCTGCTCACACCTGGGACTGTACCAGACACCTGGGATATACAAAGCCAGCAGGGCTTCTGTCGCCTCGGAGCTTATATCCTAACTGGAAAAAGAAAATCACTACATGCTGGTCATTGCCAGTGCCTTGAAAGACAGCCATGGGCCGGGGCACGGTAGGATGGAGCCCTTCAGTCAGGACAGAGCAGATGCGCTCTGGGGAGGTGGGAACTCAGTGCAGACCTAAGGGCGAGAGGAAATGCATGTGAGGCAGATGGGACAGCAGATGCCAAGGCAGCAGAGTGTTAGGGCTGAAGTACACTGCTGAGGAGGAAGGAGTGTCAGGGGAAGGCGGGAGCCAAACACGCTGCCCTCAGGGGCCACGGAAAGAGCCTGGCTTCATTTAACCAAAACAGGAGGATGCTATCGTGCTGTAGGAAGGAAGTGGTCTGATTTGCTTTCTACTTCTAATGCTCACTCGCTGCTATGAGGTGCAGGGTCTGAAAAGGGCCAAGCACAATCCAAGGAAGTCAGATAAGTTGAGTGTAAGATCCCGAGTTCAAGTCCCGATACCAAAAAAAAAAAAAGACACAAAAATATCCCCTTTTAAAATCACCTACCTGAGGAGTGTGGCAATTCCCGGCAAAATCTGAACACCACCACTGGAGAACTGAGCTCATCTTCCACCTGTACAAACACAAGTCCAGTGTTACCAAGTGACAGTAAATGGCGACACCATCAAGTGAGATGGTCGGCCGAGAAAGTAGTCTGGACGCACTCTGTTTTGTACGTTTAAAAACTCAAAGGTTAACTCAGGTGTGGTGACGCACATCTATAATGCCAGCACTTGGGAGGCCGAGGCAGGAGGATTGCGGAGCCTGGGCTACATAATGAGTTCCAGGTCAGTATCAACTATATACTGAGACCCCATCTCAAAAAACCAAAAACCACAACAACAACAAAAAAATTCAAAGGTTAATTTCAGTTTTAGAGTAACAAAAAGAAAACTAAAATGTTTAGGAGTGTGACCCTCCTGACAGCGCACTGTGGTTCTGAGATTACTACTGGACACTGAAAGCAGGGGAAAAGTTTAATATTTATAAACAACATTAATGATCAAAAAGGTAAGAAAGACTGGAACTAGAATCAGTGCTGAGGGTGTCAACGCTTTCAAAGAATCCTAGCAATCATTCAAGATTTATTAGACCTGGCAGAAAAGAAACAGAACAAGTACTCTCTCATCTCGTAACACTTGGAGAACAGGATGCCAGTGCTGTTGGCACTGTACATGATCACGGAACTGTACGTGTTTTCTAAACAGTTACTTTGTACTTAGATTCAGCACTTCCGGGAGACACATCAATGCACTTCGCCAGTCAGTCCGCTAACACGAAAACGCTCACCGCACTGCGGACTCTCATTCGGCTATCAGCTGTAGCACAGTCAGGACCACAGAGAGCAGCAGCGTCCCCACGGCCAGTGTGGTACTTCTGTGGGGTGAGGCCCTGGAGGGCCAGCTCTCCAAACGTTCAGTAACTGTGCGGTTTATCTCCAGTCTGAAAACCTATGCTCCTACACTGAGGGTGCCGACTCACTTGAAGAGACAGGAAATAAACAGCCCACGAACTTTTCTACCAATTTTTCAAAGGATCATATGGATATAAATCTGATTTCAATTTATATTCATATCTTCCAATAATTTATTGAGCTAGTTCCGGCGCTAAAATGGCTTCCATCTGTCATCTCCTATAACTTTCACATAAACATTTATTCATTCATTCATTTGACATAAGGTCTCACTATGTAGCCCAGGCTGGCCCTGAACTCAAGGAGATCCTCCTGCCTCAGCCTCCCAAGTGCTGGGGCTACAGGTGTTCAACACCACACCTAGCCTGCCCTTGTTTCTTTAAAAGTATTAATATTTATCAAGCCTAGTGGTGCATGCTATATCAAGACCATGTTGCAGGGAGGAAATGGTATTAACATTTAAATAAAGTAGAGTAAGCCCAATAAAGAAGGAACAAAAAATGGTGACAAAATAATACAGCCATTTCCTCTTCTTTAGTTAAGATAAAGCAGAGTAGGGCCAGAGGTCTAGCTCAGTGACACTGTGCCTGCCTTGCAAGTATAAGGTCAAGAGTTTAATCCCTGGTACCAAAAAAATAAAAAATAAAACAGAATGACTGGCTCCCTCCCTCCCTCCCTCTCTTTCTCCTGTTCTACTGGGGATTGAACCCAGGGCCTTCTTGTTGAGATTCATCTCAGCCCTTTTACCTTTAAATAGCATCTTGCTAAGGCACTAAGTTGCCCAGGCTGGGTCCAAATATGTGATCCTCCTGCCTCATCCTCCCAGAGTATCTCGAGAATTCTCATTACAAATGTCAGTGTGCGTAAGAAAGATTGTACAAGGTGATACACATGAAATTCGGGTTCTAGCCACAGGGTAGCTAGTACTGAAGCTACCTATTCTAAATACCAAATGATGGATTAAATATAACCAGTAACCAAAAACTTTTAAACCGATGATGCACCTCTGTCATCCCAGCACTCGGGAGGCTGAAGCAGGAGGATCACCATAATGTCAGTGTGCGTAAGAAAGATTGTACAAGGTGATACACATGAAATTCGGGTTCTAGCCACAGGGTAGCTAGTACTGAAGCTACCTATTCTAAATACCAAATGATGGATTAAATATAACCAGTAACCAAAAACTTTTAAACCGATGATGCACCTCTGTCATCCCAGCACTCGGGAGGCTGAAGCAGGAGGATCACCATAAGGCTGAGGCCAGCCTGGGCTACCACTGTGAGTTCAAGGCCAGCCTGAATTACACAGTGAGAACCTATATCAACCACCCCACAACCACGCCCGCAAAGGAAAAACAAAAATCCCTGGGCTCACAACAAAGGTAAATCTACAAAGAGGAAACAGAAATGCACAGCACAAAGAGCAGAGCAGAGCTGGGCTGAACCTTGGCTTTCAGAGCCAGAACCTTGGGCTTTAATGCTTACGCGAGGCGTGGTGGTAAATCTGCCCAAAGCCTCCATAGAGCTTCTACAGGAAAAAATACAGTGAACACATAAGGAAGAAAACCTCTCAGGGCACAGAATGATGGGTGGCAGAGGGAAGGTAGCGTAGAGTGGTGAGGGGAAGTCTGTCTGCATTTGATGGAAGGTTTGAAAGCTCAGGAACAGAACTGGGAAGGGGGCTAAAAGAAGTAGTGCAAGTGAGGCACTTAGTACAAGGCGTGGGATCAGGTGTGTACGTATATTCTACAAAGCAGCAGCAGCTGCGGTGACGATGATGAGCGACAGATCCGCTACCAAAAAAGCAGCCATTGGAAGAAAGGACAGGGCGGGATTTGTGCCTGGGCTGTGTGTAGCCTTACAAGATGCTTCAAAAGAATTCCGGACAAACTAGCTCCGTCAGACCCCCGCCTGGAGGAGAAAGGACACGGAGGAGCACAGAGGGTTCGGCAAGGCAGGGATTCCGAACCGCCTGCTCAGAGTCCCTCTGCCACCCGAAGGGCCCCACCGAGGGTAAGAAAATGACTCCAAGTCCCGGGCCACCCCGTGACATTCCAGGGTCCTGGCTGGGAGTCATCTCCCGCACTCCTACCGGCCAGCCTATCTTTCCAAAGCTCCCCAGCCAGAACTCAGGCTGCGGGGTTCCCAGCTGCTACTACTCAGGCCTGACAGGAGCCCGCAGCTGCCCTCAGCCCACATCCTAAAACAGAAGGAAATTTACTAACTCGAACCACGCAGAAATACTAGTTTTAAAGCTAACTGTACTCTGCAGAATTGTCACATACTCAGGGAGTCTGTTTAAATCAAAATCTGACCGATACACTCCCAGCAAAACTCCCCACGACACACAATGGAGCGAAACGTTCCCACCTGAACCGATACTCATTCTTGGCTGTCAGCGCTGCTAAATTCTCATCTCCTCCTCGAGTTATTATCCCAAAGGTGCAAGAGATTCATTTTAGGATGAATTCAGGAGAAGAGAAGAGCAGGCCTACTTGCTTTACTCTTTCTCATTACCCTGGTGCAAATATGAACTCTGGGACCGGAAAGTTTCAGAAAAAGTAGCCCAAAGCATTCTGAGACAGAATGATTTTTCTTTTCAGAAAATGGGTGATCTAGAGTCCTCAGTGAGGTCAAGTCAATGAACTATAGAAAGGCATTACTGAAATCTAAGCCTTGTAAAGTACAATTTCTTGGTCTTGGGCTAACTGTCCAAGTCACAGAACAAATGCATGATGCTTTTGCAAAGGCTGAATTATTTATTTATTTATTTATTTTAAACTGGAGCTGTCACAATTCAACTGAAATGCATCACATTTGGAGAAAAGCATTTTGTTGTTGAAATTTTAAAAAAAATATTTCAAAATAGGAAATTATATACCATACCAACACTTTGATGTGGTTCACTTTCTTCAAACTTTCCTGCAACCGTTGACTCTGCAAATGACAAAGACAGCTCATGTGATTTCACTCGGTCAACATGCGGATTCAGTTTTCATGAGGGGATTCAAGGCCTGCAAACAAGGATTTCAGGCATCTGCAACTTAGTGATTTCTAACTTTGACTGCCAATTTTTGCAATTCTAGATCTGAAAATATTCTCTAATCTTCCAGGTAAAAATTCCACACAGTGATTTAAGAAAATCTGTTTCTGGCCAGGTGTGGCGGTACACTGTAGTCCCAGCACTGGGAAGGCTGAGGCAGGAGGGTCGCTGCAAATTCAAAGCCAGCTTGGGCTGCATAAAGAGATCCTGTGCCAAAAATAACGAGAATAAACAAAAAAGCTGTTTCTAATGAGACGTGTGAATCTATCCTATTAGTGGTAGAGGCCATTCCTTTAAAAACCACTGAGTAGAAGCATGAGTAAGGCACAGTACTATGAGGGGACACAGCTGGCCTGAGGACAGACAAAGAGCACAGCTCTGCCAACGAGCACCCGCAGGGCCAGTTCCCTTAACATAAAATGGGAACAACAGTATCTATGGTACTGGGTTGTCAGGAAAATTACCCAAGTCAACAATACACTGGGAACTCAGGAACGGTGTCTACACCAGAGTGCAAATGTGAGCTCCTGCTATCCTCACCTCCACTGTATGCTCCAATTCCTGTTTCCTGGTCATCAGTACGAGGACAGTCACAGTGCCTGACTCAGGTGCGGGGAGCACTCATCCAGCAGATATTCACTGAGCCCTGCATGCTGGAAAAGCCCTCACGAAGCCTCCTTTGTTTTTTTTTTGGTTCCAGGGATTGAACTTGGGTCTTTGCGCTTGCAAAGCAGGCCACCGAACCACTGAGCTAAATCCCCAGCCCAACGAAGCCTCATTTCTAACATGCTGTCATCCCAGGGACTCACCCGAAACTAAGCACGCAAAGTGCTTTGTAGTGTGCTTGGTACTAAACAAATCTACCCACAAAGAAGATGGTGAGAACAGTGAGAAGAGAAGGAAACAGAGAAGACCGACAACTTCGTTCAGGGAATGTCTAGAGGGTGAGGCAAAACACTAGAGCCGCAACAGCTCAACATAGGCACTTAGCACGACGTGCCAGCCGGATAGCGTCATTCACGTCCTCCTGAGAACTTGAAATCAGCTACAGGTTTTGGCTGCAGGAAGATGCCAGCTGTGGCAACCTCAGGGCTTAGTAATTGACGTCATCGTTTATTCTTGTGCACTTTACAGGTCCTGGTGAAGTGAAGAACTCGCCCTTGCTATCTAGACTCTCCCTGAATTCAGTTACTGTGGCAGTGAGGGCCTCTCTTTCCTAACAGCCAAATCATGACCTAATGGCATAAGAACACTTTTTTAAAAATATGGTGCTTTTATAAACATAAGTTTTAAAGGTATTGATGTGAAAAGGAACTACCCTAACAAATGAAGGAACTATGCTAGCGAAATATGTACACATTCATTTTTCTTAAGTATAAAAATGACACCTAAGAAGTGCCAATTCCCCGAGAAAACTGTGGGGCGGAGCAAGCCCAGGGCCTTATGTATGTTAGACCTGTGCTCACCATGAGCTGTACCTCCAGTCCAAGAACACATTTAAAACAGAGATACAAGCCAGGCGTGATGGCGCATGCCTGTAATCCCAGCACTTGGGAAGCTGAGGCAGGAGGATCACTGTGAGTTTGAGACCAGCCTGGGCTGCACAGTGAGTTCCAGGTCAGTCTCAACTACATAGTGAGACCCTGCCTCAAAAAACCAAACCAAACAAAAAAAAACCAGAGATATAAACCTGTATGCTTAACGTGCTGTATGCAGGACTACTCTCTGAGCTTTACACACATCAACTCATTAAGTCCTCACTAACAATACTTTCTGCATTATTATTCCTAACACAGGTGAGAAAATGGAGTATCGGGCGGTGACATCATGCTTCTGAATTTAGTGGTGTCCAGCTCTCACTACATAAATGTTACACTTTGCTTTATAAATCTATGGTCTGAACATTTGCATCTGCCCCAAATTCCTGAGCCCTAATTCCCCGTGCAACAGTATAAAAGAAGTGGGGCCTCTGGAGGTGGTTAGAGGGTGGCACCTTCATGAATGGGATTGTTCTGCTCTCACCCTTGCCATGAGAGACAGAACAGCCACCATCTAAGAGGAACAGGTCTTTACCAGACACTGAATCTGCCGGCATTTTGATGTTAGATCAGCCTGTAGAACTGCAAGCAACACATTTCTGTTGTTTGAAAATTACTCAGTCCAAGGTATTTTGTTATAGCATGCACATTGACTACGACAATTACGTATTTTTCACAATTAGAAGACCTTGACTGCAAAGATAATCAAAACTGTGGCTAGAATCCTGCAATCTGGGAAGCTAACCCAGTGCACCGGGATTATCTAGGCCACTGTATCCCACCTCTGAGCCCCATTACCCCTTACCCTGGAGGCTCAGCCTACCGGCGTTATCCTTCCTTTCTGCACTCTCCCTACTTCCCAAGAAGCCATGCGTGACCCCAGCTCTCACCCCAGGCTGCCAGTGGTACTCCTTTTCTTTCTTTCTTTTTTTCTTTCTTGGTACCAGGGATTAAACTCAGGACCCTGTGCTTGCAAGGCAGGCAGCAGAACCACTGAGCTAAATCCCTGGCCCATGTGCCCTCATCTGCGCTGTTGTTGGTCAGTGCAAACAGTCACTCCCAGAACTTCCTTCCAACAGGAAACATGTTCACAAAGCAGTACCCGGAGGACAGAACACTGGATGGAATGACAGGTTTTCTATCTGCTTCTGCTGAGGAGCCATCACGACTCAGTTAAACTTGAGGTTTCTACTCACGAGTTGACAGGCATGCTTTATCTTCTCCACAATGCCATCGAGTCCCAAGTATTGTAAAGACAACCACAGAGGCAGGGCACGCAGCTTGTCTGCTGGCTTATTTGATGTAAGACCAGCAACTAATGTCTAAAAAAAGCCAATATCAATGCATTAGTCAAAGACACTGGAATCCAGGAACTAACTGGCTCATATTTATACACGCTCTGTTTGACACTTGGCTACACAATTGGCTTGCATTATCCATTCGATCATCCAACACCTTCATGAGGTACATATCCTGGAGTGGCAAAACCAGGACGAGAATCCTTATAGATCCCAGAAGCAGAACTAAGCTCTTCCAAGCAGCAGCCCCGTGCAGGGCTGCTCTGAGCATTCTCAAATACCTAGTCATCATAACTGAGCGAGTCATCAACCGTGTTAGTGACAAATCACTTAACACTCATTTTTCATGTGCCTGTCACTAACCTATCCACTACCGAAATATCAGGCATCAACCTATTTGACAAAGCACATCAGGAGCCTTAAAATACTCCCAAGTCAGGGATCTTATCTAAGGAAATAATTTAAAACTGAGAAATATGTTTATTGTCTCATTATTTCAGTAACAGACATTTGAAACGTCCTAAAAGTTCACAAATGGCCATGATTAAATGAATTGTGATACTTGAGCGACAGAATATTATTATAGGGATAAAATGCCACAAAATCCTTCATACACACAGTGAAGTACGGGGTGAATGAATAGAACAATACATACGGTATGGATTTACTAACAAAGTTCATATATACACTTGTGTATGAATCAAGTGGAAATACTCACCTTTTCCTTCATTTTTCTGTGTTTTGTCCCTAAAGCCAATAATGACTACATGCCACTCCCTGCCTCCTCCCCAGGAGAGTAAGCTCACCAGGGCCGGGTTGTTGTGTTTGTACAGCGTCACTGCAGGAACCGCGGGCAGACCCAGCCACGGGCCGGGGGTCAGTGTCATGCTGTCACATTTAGTCGCAGGCTACCGAAGAGAGAACAGCATTTCATTGGATTATCAGAATACAAACCCAGCTCCCTCCTCCACTCATAAAAATGAAAAACCGAGAATTCAGAGATTTTAGATTCCTTCTCAGGAACACAAATATTTAATAAGTCAACAACATACCAGCACTGATGAGGACACATAACCGAGAGCCAATGTTGCCAGATTCACACTGGAAGAAAAAACACCAATCTAAGAACTACAGTAATTATTACTTCACATTAATGACTAAGTCTGTGCTTTCCACACAAAACAAAAATCACGACTGTGCTGCTGCAAAGCGACATGTGAATGTCTTTTAGCTCTGATTATAGCAACAGATGTGGATTACACAAATTCTGGGAAACTCTTCAAAACCTTTTTAATAAAAATGTGCTTCAGAGGAGAACTCATTTAGTAAGATGCGTGCACTACTCTGTATCTTTCACAGCTACTACTTTCCAGGAACCATTCTCTACAGAGACATAAAGAATCCCCCTCGAGGATGCAGTGGCACGGGCACTCTGGCTGCCCTGTATCTCCCACCACCCCTTCCCTTAAAGGCACCCCAGTGGCCTTCTGGGAAACTCCCCCACTTTCTTCCAATAGACCAGAAGCTCTGAACCAAACAGATCCCATGAACTGCCAGAGGACTGTTTCCCTGGCCACAGTGACTGGTTCAACATGACACTTGTTGGGCCTCCTGACCGATGAACACAAGTTGGAAAGAGAGATGGAGTTTCTGCAGTTACTATGTCCCAAATAGGAAAGGCCCCCACACAGCCAGCACACAGGAAATCAAGCCAAGTGATTGTGATTGGGGAAATGCAACGGGGAGGACGACACTGAGTTCTGGCTGACATTATGGCTGAAGTCAGACCTAGCAACAATCTTCTTGGTTATGTGGGGCAGTGGAACCTCTCTCTCCTTTAGCCACTTTGGAATTTTAAAAAATCTTCAACAAAATGAGCCTGGTGTGGTGTACATGCCTATCATCAAGGCAGGAAGATGGCCAAAAGTTCAAGGCCAGCCTGGGCTAACACAGCAAGAAGACACACTCTCAAAAAGTTAACAACAAAACCAAACAAAAACCAAAAGGGCCCTCAGTAATAAATTTCAGTACGTGACAGGCCTGGATGTCCACTCTTCATGGGACAACACAGAACCACCCGATCTCATCATCCACGTACCCCTCCACATGAAGCCACACGCCATACTGCTCACAGAGCTCTCTCAAACGCCCAATCTTGTCTGTGTGCCCGACTGCTGCAGTTCCTACCATAAAACAAATAGGCAAGAAGATTCAAAGAACAAATATCTTTTGAAAGTTTATAGCATAAATGCTTTTATATACAGTATCTCTCCAGGAGGGAAGTAGCTTATACCCCTGGTTCTGAGAATATGTGGACTGAAGTTAATTTCTTTTACAAGTTGATATATGTAAGCTTTAAAGACATGCATTCTTCATTATATGTATTTAATTGTTACTAAAATCTCTTACAGCCACTTTCTGTATATTCTTGTTTATTCATGAAAAATATAGTGAAGTCTCCCACCAAGACTATCGATCTGTTTTTTCTTCATGTATTTCAAAGATATGTGCCATAACCATTTCTGCTTTTAGCAGACTGTCGTTCACCAAACAAAGTTTATTTTACATACTAACGCTGCTGCAGTATTTTTGTTTTGTCAGAAGCAGGTGCCCAGACCAGTGGTGGCAAAACTATGGCACACATACTGCAGCGGCCTGTTTGTTACTGAAAGCTCTAAAAGGTTTGCCATCACTGGCCTACACTATCCTTTCCCATTCCTTTTTTATTCTTTTTTGTCATTTTATGGGTTATTTTCATTGGGGTGTGTCCTTTATACAAAAAATACACAGACGAATCTGTGTATGTTTCCATTCTGAAGCCTGTTTAAACATACTAAACACTTTGAGCCACTCCTTTGGTAACCTGATTGAATTACAGATTTTGTTGGGCAGATCCTTTTTCAGACGGAGCTTAAAAAAAACTTGGGAGTCATGCATTTTCCCATCAGTCCAAACTTTCCAGTTAGCAGAGTTCCCAACTAGTAAGAGTTTACACCCTCCCCAAGGACCTCCACAGCCCAGCTAAAGAAAATGGTTCTTTTGCACTGTGTGTGCCAGGAAAAGTGCTGAAAACTTCCCCTTTGCATATTAAGTCTCTCAAATTTTAAAAAAAATGTCTTAACACATTTAGGTTGGGTGAAACAAGATCAAATGCAGCACAGGACAGTTCCACATGATCCTTGCCTCCAAATCAAAGCCCAGAGCTGTTTAGTGCCTGGACCACATTCAGATTCCTCTTCGTATTTTTTGGCAGTGTCTGCTGACTGACCTGAGATGTGCACTCTGGCCGTAGCAATGTGGCCACTGACCAGTCCCTTAGTCACATGCCAGCCGCAGCCCCTTGCATCTAACAGGTGACTGGATATGGGCGGATTTACTTCCTTTTAAACAGACAGCAGATAAGTCAGGCAGGAAATGGTGGTTTCCCTGCTGGCAATAAGGTGGACATTTAAGTATTTTCTTGTTTTAAATAAATAGTTTTATTGAAGTGTAATTCACAGCCATAATCCTGCTTGTTTAACTGTATAGTTCAATGAGTTCTGACAAACATACATAGGGTATAACCACCAATATAATCAAGGTATAGACTGTACCTATCATCTCAAAAATTCCTTTGTTCCCACTATAGTCACTTCTCTTCCCAACTCCTCACTGGTCCTAGACAATTCTGGTCTGTTTCCATTAGCATAGTTGTATCTTTCCTAGAATTTCACTGTTTTGTTCTGCTGAGAAAGGGTCTTGCTACACAGTTCAGGCTGGCCTCCCGAGTGCTAGGATTGCTGGCATGGGCCATCAAGCTCAGCCAGAATTTCTTACGAAGGGAATTATGTATTAAGTTGATTAACTTACTGTATCTTGCTTTTCATACCTAGCGTATTTTGAAATTCCTCTATGTTGCTGCATAGATCTACAGTTGCTCAGGCAAGGCTTGAACCTGTGATCCTCCTGCTTCAGTCTCCCAGAGTGCTGGGATTGTGGGTGCACACAGCTGTATGACTTGGATACACCCTTGTCTTTACCCATTCACAGATGAAAGGTAGCTGTGCTGTTTTATTTGGGAACATTTTTCACACAGACTTTTGTGGGGAGGTAAGTTTTCATTTCTCTCTGATAAATACCCACAGTGGAACTGATGTATTATATGGTAATTTTATGTTTAGCCTTTTGAGGAACTGCCAAACAGTTTTCCAGAAGAATTGCAAGGTTCTGCAGTTCCAGTTGAGCTGCATACTCACCAGAATTTGGAACTGCAATTATTTTCAGCATTCAAACAGATATCTCAGTGTGTTTGTTTGTTTTGGGGTGGGTGTGTATATGCACATGTGTGTGTGCGTGTGTGGTGCTGGGGATCAAATCCAGAGCCTTCCGCGTGTGCGGTAAACGCTGTCACTGAGGGACACCCCCAGCACTTACTGGTTTTAAACTGCGTTTTTCCAGTGACTAAAGATGTTAAGCGTCTTCTCAAGGGTTTATATACTTATTTTCTTTGGAGGTGCCTATTTCAAATCTTCATTTTAATAAACTATCAGCTGTCTTATTGAGTTGTAAGAGTTCTTTATATATTTTGAAATATTTTCAGAAAAATGTACTGCAAATATTTTTTCCAATCTCTAGCTTGCTTTTTGTTTTCTAAATAGGATCTCTTTCAAACAGCAAAAAAATTTTGTTTTTGTTTTGGTACTGAGAACTGAACACAGAGCCTTGCACATACTAAGTACATGCTCTACCACTGAGCTATATCCCCAGTCATGCTTTTAATTTCTGATAAAGTCTAATTTACCAAAAATGCTTTTTGGGGGTTGGGGATTTAGCTCAGTGGTTCTGTCACCTGCCTCTCAAGTGCAAGGTCCCAACTTTGATCCCCAGTACCAAAAAAACAAAACAAAAATGAAACGAGGCTTTTTGGGTCTTTTTTTTTTTTTTTTTTTTTTTTT